TTGATGGTGCTGTTCAGGTTATCAAGATCCTTACTGATTTTCTGCTTGCTTGATCTATCGATAACTTGCAGAGGGGTGTTGTAATCTCCAACATAATAATGGATTTGTCTATTTCTCTTTTCAGTTCTATCAGTTTTTGCCCCATGTATTTTGACGTTTTCTTGTTAGGTACATGCTGGTTTAGGATTATTATGTCTTTTTGGAGAACTTACCCCTTTACCGTTATGCAATGCCCTCTCTTTATCCCTAATAATTTTCTTTGTTCTGAAGTCTGCTTTCTCTGAAATTAATATAGCTACTCTGGCTTTCTTTTGATTAATGTTATCATGGTATATCTTTCCCATCCATTTATTTTTAACCTATCTGAGTCTTTGTACTTAAAGTGGGTTTGCTACAGACAACATATAGTTGGGTGTTATTTACTTATCCAAGGAGTCCCTGGGTGGTGCAAATGGTTAACACTCAACTACTAACTGAGAAGCTGGCAGTTTGCACCTACCCAGAGGTACCTCAGAAGAAAGCCATGGTGATCTACTTCTGAAAAGTCAGTCATTGAAAGCCTGATGGAGTGCAGTTCTACTCTACACACATAGGATCACCATGAGTTGGAATCAATTTGAGGACAACGGATTGGGTTTGGTTAGATATTTACTTACTCACTCTGACAACCTCTGTCTTTTAAATGGTGTATTTAGACCATTCACATTTAAAGTAATTATTTATATAGTTGGGTTAATATCTACTATGTTTGCAACTCTTTTCTATGTGCTGCGTTTGTTCTTTGCTTCCCACCGCCCCTTCTGCCTTCTCCTCTTTTGAGCATTTTACATGATTCTATTTCCTCTCTTGGCGTATCAACTATACTTCTTTAAAAATTTTTTTAGTGGTTGCCCTAGAGTTTACAATATACATTTAAAATTATCTAAGTCTACCTTCAATTAACACTATACAGCTTCACGTGTAGAGCAGGAACCTTAACCCAGAGTATCCCAATTACACCCTCCTGTCACTGTGACTTTGTGGTCATTCATTCACTTATCTTTATGCTATAATCTTCCAATACACTGTTAATCTTATTACTTTAAACAGTTATCTTTTATATCAACTGGAAATAAGAAAAGTGATTGTTATTTTACTTTAATTTATTCCTTCTCTGATATTCCTCCTTTCTTTATGCAGATCCAAATTTCTCACCTACAGGATCTTCCGTCTGCCTGAAAACTTATTTTAATATTTCTTGCAGAGCAGGTATACTGGCAATGAATTCTCTCAGGTTTTGTTAGTATGAGCAAGCCTTTATTTCTCCTCCACTGCTGAAGGATAATTTCACTGCACTTAGAATTCTAGGTTTTTTTTTTTCCCAACACTTTAACTATTTCACTTTACTCTCTTCTTGCTTGCATAGTTTCTGATGATAAGCCTGCTGTAATTCTTATCTTTGCTCTTCTATAGGTAAGATATCTCCCCCCTCCCTTCAGCTCCTTAAGATTTTTTATTTGTCTTTGTTTTTTTGCAGTTGGAATGTGATATGCCTAGGTGTAATTTTTCGGTGTTTGTCATTTTTGGTGTTCTCTGAACTTCCTTGATTTGTGGTTTACTTTCTGTTATTAGTTTTGGAAAGTTCTTGTCCATCATTACTTCAATATTTATTCTTCTTCATTCTCTTTCTTTTCCTTCTGATATTCTATTTATGCATGTATTATATATACCTTTTGCAATTGTCCCATAGTTCTTGTTCTTAGTGTTCTGTTTTTTTTTCTTTTTGAATTTCAGTTTGCAAAATTTCTATTGACCTATCTTCAAGCTCACTGATCCTGTCCTTGGCCATGTCAAGTCTACTGATAAGCCCATTGAAGGCATTCTTCATTTCAGTTAAAGTGTTTCTGATTTCTAGCATTTCCTTTTGATTTTTTTTTTTTAGAGTTTTTATCTGCTTACATTACCCATCTGTCCTTGCATGTTGTCTGTTTTTCCATTAGAGTCTTTAACATATTAATCATAAAACAACAACAACAAAAACCCAAACCTGTTGCTATGGAGTTGATTCCAACTCATAGCAACCCTATAGGACAAAGTAGAACTGTCCCATAGGATTTCCAAGGAGCAGCTGGTGCTTCGAACTGCTGGCCTTTTGGTTAACAGCCTAGCTCTTAACCATTTCACCACCAGGGCTCCAGGTTATTAATCACAGGTATTTGAAATTCCCTGTGTGATAATTCTAACATCTGTGTCATATCTTAGTTTTGGCATGCCTTGTAATTTTTTGTTGAAAGCCAGATATGTTGTACTGGGTAATAGAAACCGAGGTAAATAGGCCTTTAATGTGAGGATTTATGTTAATATGGCTAGGAGTTGGGCTATGTTTAATGTTTGCTATAGCTATAGATACCCAAGGCTTCAAAATTCCTCTAGTGTCTTTGTTTTTGTCTCCTTTCTTGACTTTGGGGTTCCTTAAGTACCCCTACTCAGACAGAGCCTGTGTTTTGCAGATCTTTCAGTCATAATCCACTTTATTATACTAGAGTCTTGTTGGTGTGGTGGTAAGGTATGAGAGAGGAGCAACAATCTTCTGATTAAATCTCAGTCTTTTAGAGGGCTGTGTCTCAGGGCTCTGACCTTCACAAGTGTTTCTCAGTAGTATAGCTCTGTCCTCACTCCCTCATTTTTTTCCTGATTGTAGTGTTTCCAATCCTATTTCCTTGAAGTCCTGACCCTTGCTGACTATGCCCACCACTCAGGCGAGACAGGAAGCTAGGGGGGGCTTCAGTGTGTGAAATTCCTTTCTCCCAGCTGCGATAAAACTCTGGGGAACAGGATTTTGTTATGGAGAAGCCTCTGGAGGATTTAATGATTACTCTTCTCCTCCCCCTGCCAAAACCACAAGAGGATTTTTCTCATATTGTCACCATGAGAACCTGGTGGGGTTTCTCCAGATAAAGCCCATGAAATTATGGGTACCTCTAAGACTGTGGCCTCCAGGAGTTTCTCCCTCTCACTCTAGTCCACACTTAGCCTCTAGCAATTCATCAGAATTGCCATTTAAATATTTCTACCAATTTATGGCTCCAGTGGATTCTGCTCCAGGTAAGCAGATCTCAGCTGTAACTCTCTTCATGTACCTGACTCTCCGGTTTTTGGGATGTGGTTTGCCTTACCACCTCAGTTCTCTGATGAGTTCAAGAGAAGTCACTGAATTTTAGTTTTTCTAGCCTTTTCTGGTTGGAAGGACAGAACTTATGACTCCCAAGCTCTTTACATACTGGAGCTGAAACTGGAAGTCCCTCCACACCTGCTTTACATAATTCCCTGTGCCCCTACTCAGAGCACTTGAGTCCTGCTTCACTGCCAAACATACTCTTCCCAGCTTTCTCTGGGTTATGGACTCCTGTTGCTGCAAATTTCCTCACATTGTTTCAGGCTCAGCTCCAAGTGTTGGTCTAAACATGGAGACCTCAGCTGGATATGAGCATGGTCAGTGCTCCTCAAGATCGTGCAGGGAATACCTGATATGCGGAGCATATGGTAATCCCTGCTGGTGTTGAAGGAAGTCAGCCCCACAGAAGGTAAGTTATGCAGGCTGGGAGACTTGCTGCTACAGTTAAGGATGCTCTTTTGGAATCTGCTGAGCTGTAGAACGCTGTCTCCCCACACCATGGAGAAGAGAACAGTGGACACTCCCATAGGTGCAGTGAAACAGATGACCCACAGGCCCCAGATGCCTAGCTTTACAACATTACGCTTGTATGTTAAGGGCTTTACATGACAGATGCTGTGACAGGCTTAAAAAGCAGGAATTCACATGGACTTGAGGTGAGGTATACTTATGTAACTTAAGAAGCAAAGATCTGCCATAAGCCTCGTTGGCCATATTTTCACTCTGTCCCCCTGAATAGTACTTTCATAGTACTTCTGTCTTTCTTTAGCCACAGATAGGGCTGTTCTATGAAGACCTGATTCCCATTTGTCTTTCTTAGAATGTTTGAAATTGTAGAGCAGGGAGTATTGACTTTAACCCTGAATGATAAGTAGGACATGTATAATTTTGTTGTTTCTCTTAGATGCTGACTCTGGACAATAAAGATGCTTTATTGATCTATGTGATATTTTTGGTACCAAGATCTCTGGAACACCCAGATCCATCTGGACACTTTTGCTCAAGGATGGGCACTATGTGTTCCAAGATGGCAAGAGGTATAAACAAAGGATTGGCTCCCTGATAAACTGACCCCAACCAAGGGAAAAATACCTGAAAACTGGGAGCAAAGGTAATTCTTCCATCTTTTCAGAAAATTCCCCCTCCCACACCTTCTGTAATGGAACACGGGCTGTCATGGTGATGGTTGGTTGGTAAACTCCAAGGGGATGGGGAAAGATGTTGCAATGTTAAGTGAGCTTAAGCAATATATACCTTCAAGGGAATTTTCTCCTTTAAGTTGGGTTTGAAATATTTCACAGCCTACTTTCTATAATGCTGAAGGATATCAGGCCCTTAAAGTTTTCTGAGATTTTTTGAGTCATCTGGTCTCTGCTTTCCTCAGGCTTCACTGACACCTCGGGAAGGTTACTAAGGTGGTGATCATAGCAGGAGAAAATGAAGGAAATTGGGATGGAGGTGCGGGAAAGGAGAATATGCACGTAAATGGGAAGTTAGAAGAAGCACAGCGAATGGATGGAGATGAGCAGAGAAGGCTTGAGATCTGGATGACATTAGTGACAGGGCAATCTCAGGTCTGGAAGCAGGTAAGAAGTGAAAGAATGGAGGAGAGGTAGGGATTAGAAAAGTGATCAGTGAGGGCAGGAATAAGGTACAAGATGTGAAAGGAATCAACAAAGAGGAAAAAGGAGAGTTAAGTAAGATACGTGTGACTGCACGCATACACACAGACACATACACACACATGCACGCACACACCCATTGCTATTAAAGAAGGGCCGGGCTCACCAAAGTCTCTGATTGCATTGTACAGACACAGCTATTTGAAATAATATGAAAATCATACCTTGTTTTGTTTAAGGGCACCTTTCTCTTTCATGTGAGGGCAGTCCTTTCCCGTTACTACGGCTTTGATATCTGCCACTGGCACTGTAATTCACAAAAGAAAATGAAAGTAACTAAACCATGTGAAAGCTTCAATGTCAATAAAGAAGCAGGACTAAGCACTGAGTCTTCTACCATACCTGCCATTCCCAGAAAGTACTGCAGAGAAGAGAAAAGTGCTCACAAAGAGGACTGGAAACTAAAATATATTCTATTAAAAAGCATTGCTGGGGAGGTGGGGCTATGTCAATAAAAAGAATTTGGTTTACAAACACCTGAAAAAAAATTATAGTATTGTTAAAAGTAACAGCAATAGAAGCAGCAGTAGTTGTAATAGTCATAGCAGTACCAATATTACGGCCTCTATGTGCCAGGAACAATGCCAAGTGATTTACATTTATTATGATCTCTTTCTATAGTATCTAAATCTATTTGGTTTCTGAGTTTTTGATAATGAGAGAAAGCAGCTCTATCTCAAAATATCTGCCCGAATCTAAACAGATCCTGAAATCTCATTCTCCAAAATCTTGCTCTCTACCATTTCATTTAATTCTCACAACAATTCTGTGAGGCAGGTTTTACTACCTCTACTTCACAGACAAGAAACTGAACTCAATTAAATAGGGTGAACATTCTTTTCTGAAAGGGAAATCGCAGCTAGTTCATCTTGGAAATTCTGGAAATAATAAGTTCGATAAAATGATGTTATCTCAAGTCTTACTCAGGATGTGGAGGATGATAAGAAAAGATGTGGAAATGATTGTGCATTTAAACGTTTTTGTTAAGATCAACCGAAGAGAAGGCAGTAGGATGGTTTGGAACCCTAATTTTAAAAATGCAAAGTCATTCTGTCCCACTCTAATCCTTAATCCTTCATTCCAAAAAGGATTGTGAATCCAGGGGCCCAAGTGAACTGGGTTGGCTTTTCCAAAGTTAAGATCTGCGGGAGCTTTGAGTAATCAATTCCTTACACTCCTTGAATGAGAAAGATAATGAATATTTCATAAGTGTGAGTTCACATATTTTATTGGGGAATTGGTTTGTGGGGGATAATACTTAGATGAAGATAAAATTATAGAATATGTATGATGTTGTTGTTGTTAGGTGCCATCGAGTGGATTCTGACTTATAGTGACCCTGTGTACAACAGAACGAAACACTGCTCAGTCTTGTGCCATCCTCACAATCGTTGTTATGCTTGAGCTCAATACAACAGGAAGACAGGCCCCTTAAAAGTTAACATTTTCCAGGGAGCCTAAACTTACTAAGAACTTTGTCCAAATGTGTTGACACTGCTAGAGGTCTAGAGTTCTCACTAACCCTGGAAGAATGGGGATGCTGTGATGAACCCTTCAGAAAACCACTGCAGGCTTCCCTGCTATCTTCCCCACCATGTCTGCTCCTCCATCTTGCAGTCCCTGATTTTAGACGCCTTTGGTAGACATTATGGTTGCCCACTAATATCTGGCTTTCCTTTCCTTCTGGGCACAGGGAAGACTCTACTTCCCATCAACCTTCACAATTAGGTGGGGTCATGTGATTAGTTCGGCCAATGAAATGTTAGAGGAAGTGGCATGTCTCTTCTTTAGGCTGAAGCAGTGAAAAGCATGTGTGCTCCAGCCTCTCTCTTCCCTGCTGCAGAAACTGAAGAGGCAACATGTTTCCAGATGCTGCAGTTTTGGGATGGCAAAGTAGCCATGGGTCTGTGCCCCTAAGGAAATGTGTGGAGGGGTCCTTTGTCAACCCATGTAAGTTATGTAATGTGAGTGAGAAATTAACTTTGTTGTGCTAAATAAACTATGTTGTAGCAAAATGTAGTAACGTAGCGTATCCTGACTGGTTTACCTTTTTACCTCGTACCCTCTCCTACCTTTCTGCCTGGCCTCTTTTGGATTGGCATCTTGTTATAAGCGGTCTCTATGATTTCTGAACCTACCTTTGACCCGGAACACTCATTCAAGTTCTCCTTAAACCCATTTTCATAACCAAGGATCAGCCCCACTCCCCTTCAAAGGCTGATCTGGCTGCCTACTCACTACCCTGAGAGGGGACATTTGGACACTTGGGGAAGTTGGTTTACTTTTCAATAGAAAATCCACCACTGAAGTGACTTTGCAGTATCATTAACATATCAATGTATAAAAACATTCTCAAGTTTCAAATGAAGCTTCAGTCACAATTGCATTGTCCAAGTCTTTTGTTGTATAATATATAACACAGTCAATGAACTAGAGACAGTGTTTACAATCTATAAACAGTAAGTCACCCATTGGCTTTGAAAATGCATCACATGGAATGGGACAAGAGTAATCCACGTCTGTTGTGGGGCAGTCTTCACGATCTCTGATGGAAAGAGTTCGGAGGAGAAAAGGCCCTTTTCCATCGGGTTTTGTGACAGTACATACTTTATGTTTTTTATATGCGTTGTCCCCCGTCAAGGAGACAAGCTGTGATATCACTCATAGGATGATGGCTAAAAAGAAAATACAGAATACTAAAAATACAGTGTGGCTTTTAAAGGTTGCTCTTTGCATAGTTTCTCTCAAGACGCACTAGAAGATTAGTCATGGAAGAGCTGAAGAGCCTCCTCTCTGTTCCCATGAGCAGGATCAGAGGAGTCCGACTCATGGCTCTGGAACCTACACTCTGAGGAGGAGTGGGGTCTCTCCATGACTACAAAGCCAGGCTGGTGTGTACTTCAGGCCTTTTTGTGTGGGAGCAAGTAAAGACCCAGGGTCTAGTGAGATGGGAACAGAGGGTCACTGGTGAAGGAAGCACCTCTCCCTCATCTCCCAGGCAAGGCCTCATTCCTTGCCAGGCTTTTTTCAGTTTGAGTTGGATTGAGACTATCTAATTGAACACTCTCATTTTACAGATAGGAAGACTGAGGTCAGAAGAGAGGAAATAAATTATGCAATGTCACACAGCTAGCGCGAGATGGAGCGGGGGCTGGTGCTTTTCCTTCTACTCCATGCTCCCATGCTGGGCCATGATTTCTCCCGATGTTTAAAAGGTGTCAGTATCCGAAATTGTGCTGAACACAGCGCCAAATGTGGTTAGCGCTTCATATGTACTCAGGAAATTCTCTGGTTGCTAGTATCTGTTGGGGGGGCTTTAACTGTGATTAAAATAAAAATGCCACTGGGCCACCACAATACATACAGTTTCAGGTTTGACCACTGGGAGCCAAGATGAGGCAGAAATCATCCCCAGAAAGCAGCTGCTAAGCCGTGAGCACTTGCAGTATGCAAGCCCGTACTAGGAAAGTTCCTGTGTGTGGAGATGAGGAGGAGAGACAGGCTCATCTCCGCAGTCCCCTTCAGTGAAGTATCTGGCCTCTAACCTGGCAGGTCAGCACAGAGTGGGGGGAAGGGCTGCACACTGGGATCAGGGAGCCTGGATTTGAATTCTAGATCCGTCTATCGGTTGTACAGCTTTGGGCTTGACTTCTCTGAGCCTCCAAGCCTCCTATGCAATATGGGGCGATAATACACTCTATCTGATAGGATTATTCTGAGAATTAACTCCTAATGTTGGTGTCAAAGGAAACCCTGGTGGCGTAGTGGTTAAGGGCTACAGCTGCTAATCAAAAGGTCGGCAGTTCGAATCTACCAGGCACTCCTTGGAAACTCTATGAGGCAGTTCTACTCCGTCCTTTAGGGTCGCTATGAGTCAGAATCAACTCGACAGCAATGGGTTTGGTTTTCTCATTTGGTTGGTGTCAAGCTCACTGTTGGCATTTAATCTAGACAGTACAAAGAATTGGGTATAAATCCGGGACACAAAGTCAGGTGGTTACTAACCCTGTGACCTTGAACAAGTTACTTAAGGAAAATCTGTTTTCTTATCTGTAAAATAGGGACAACATCTACCTCTTCAGGTTGTTGAGAGGACAGTTTATGTAAAGCTCTTAGCACAATGCCTGGCATACAGGAAACCAAACCAAATCCAAACCCACTGCCGTCGAGTTGATTCTGACGCATGACGACCCCATGTGTTACAGAGTAGAACTGCTCCATAGGGTTTTCTTGGCTGTAATCTTTACGGAAGCAGATTGCCAGACCTTTCTTCTGTGGTGCCACTGGGTGTTCTAAATGCCAACCTTTAGGTTAGTAGTTGAGCACTGAACTGTTTGTACCTCCCAGGGACTCTCTGGCATATAGTAAACACTTAATAAATGTTATCAGTAATTATTCTCATTACCAATCTTCAAAGTTAATTTTCTCTGTAGATTGAGGGACCTGAATTATTTGGTGTGCTTCAGTGGTCCAAATCGTCCACTTTGCTTCTCTGTGTGAGCCATTTCATCGAGTATAACAGGATTAATTTCCTTACATGCTTGGGGGCGAGGCTGTGCTGCTCCTCCTCAGCCTCTTTGATGTGGGAGTGAGAAGCACTGGCCTAGATTCTTACAAAGGGAGGCAATGAAGGGCCTGAAGCACGCTGGAAAGCAGGGAGTGTTTAGTGGGGGTGAGGACTGCCTGTAAGCCCAGGTGGGAGGGGTGTGGGGCCCATAGGGGATGTAAACAGATACGGATTTGCAAGGGCCATATTCACTGACAAACAAAAGGAATATGAAAAGAAAGATTTCCTAAACCTTTAGGGAACCATAGTGGCATAGTAGTAAGAGCTACGGCTGCTAACCAAAAGGTTGGAAGTTCGAATCCACCAGCCACTCCTTGGAAACCCTAGGGGGCGGTTCTACTCTGTCCTATAGGCTCACTATGAGTCAGAATTGACTCAATGGCAACAGGTTTGTTTTTTTGTTTTTCTTTTTAGGGAAGAAGCTGGCCAAGGAGAGGCCCTCGATCTTACCTGCACTAGCTATATTAAGAGAATTCAATTATACTATTTGATTCATCAATATCGCAATATCCTGCACGTATTAACTCAAGGGGTGGATGACAATTTTCCCTGTGGTCTCAAGAGAGGGCAATCATACATGGCTAGAGCAATGGCACTTAACATTAATTAAAGGAACGCCTCATTTTTCTGACTTTTAAGGGCTCCAAGAGGGCGGCTATTTTGCTCCAGGCAGAATAAAGAATTGGAATTAAATGCAAACCAAGTGGCAGGCGTGAAGCAGCAAACTTTTGTTTCCAGGCCAGGGGCCCTCTCATCTCAGGCACATTATAACTCTATTGTACTTCATTATATGAACACACGCATACTAATCTCTCCCAGATACTCACATACCTACCCATCCACAGGCACACACCTATACTCTCACCCACACAAGTATGCATTCTTGGTGTATCTTGCAATGAATAAACTGGTAATGGACAGCTCTCTGGAACTTTGCAATACTTCCAAGGTTGCAGAGGAGATGGGTGGAGAGGAGTTCTAGGGGCACTCTCAGGAAGCACTGCTGCAACCCTTCCCCAGAGCCAGCATAACTCAGGGGCCATCATCAAAAGTTGTTTTGGCCTTGTGCAGCTTTGGCTTTGCTCTTCTCCTAAAGCCACCCTGGCGAGCTGCTGGCCTTCCCTCCTAGATTCCCTGGCATCAAGACTCCTGGTTCCTGCCAGTTAGTTTTACCCCTGGAGTCTTGGAGTGAGGCCCTTAGTAGGGTTGTGGGGCACCAGCCTGGGGGAAGGCCTAGGCACTACCCCTACACAAGGCTCAGGTACTGTCCACCCCTTGAACTTTTCTAAGAGCAAGGCGACTGCTTTCTTAGCAACAAGACCAGCTAGGATGGGAGAGCACCATTTTTGTTTTTGTTTTTTTAATCAAGTGTCTATCTTTAGGTTGAGAAATGGATTCTATCCCTATAAATATGGGGATAAACAATATCCCCAGTGAATGGGAGAGCAGATTCTCTGTGTCTCACGGGGAAGCAATGAATCAAGCTGTGCTGTTTCTGCCCTGAGCACTCTCCCCGCCCACCGCCCGTTGCTCTAGTGAGAATGACGCAGTGGGAGATTGCCTGTAGAGCTGCTGGGTGCTGTGACCAGCACTAATCCCTCTTCTCCGTTTATCCCGTGGAGCAGTGATTCCAAACTGGCCCTAGTTCACGAGAGAGTTTTCACCATTTCATGATGGCAAATGGAGGAAAACAAGGACACTGGTGTGAGTTTTTCATAAAGCTTGTTTAATTCTGTAGAAGGGACGGTCCTTTATTCTAAGATTAGGTCCTTCTTACTTTTTTGGTGATCAAGCGTCCTTTCTTTTTTGAAAGGATTGTGATATTAAATTTTAGTTAGATTTTATTTTTTAATATCCTTATTCGCCAAAATTGAAAGTTGGCAACCCCCATCAATTTGATTTTTTTTTTTTTTAATTTTTACTTACTAATGAAAGGCAAAGTTAGGGGATCTCTATGTAGCGTATAGGGCAATATCCAGCTCAGAGATCGCTGGGCCCCAGATTCAGAGGCTCTGATTCAGCAGGTCTGGGAGTGGGGCCTGAGATTCTGCATGTCTAACAAGTTTTTGGAGTCCCTGGGTTGCTATGAGTCGGAACTGACTCGACAGCAACAGGTTTGGTTCATTTGGAGTTTGGGTGGTACAAAAGGTTAATACGCTCAGCTGCCAACCACAAGATGGGAGGGTCAAGTCTACCCAGCGGAGCTTCAGAAGAAAGGCCTGACAATCTACTTCTGAAAAACCAGCCACTGAAAACTCTATGGTGTACAGCTCTACTCTGACACACACGGTCGCCATGAGTGGGAATCAACTCCATAGCTTTTCTTTTTTTTTTTAAAACAAGTTCCCAGGTGATGCTGCTGCTGCTGGCCAGGACCACAGTGTGAGATCCACTGGTCTAGCTTGTCCATGCTGGGATGTGGAGGGCCTTCTGGGATCTAAGGGAGGAGTCCTCGCCTACAGGCAGAAGTCCAGGACTGCCCACACAGCAAGGGCTGTGTGGACTCAGTCCCAGGCTCTCTGCAGTGGCAAATTTCAGATTTCTTTCTCCCTGGATATGGTGCCAATAAAGTAGGCTGGAGGCAGTTTTATGGAAGGAAACGAGGACATTTTCTGAACGAATTGACACTACAAAGAACAGATTGCCCCATTTTTAAGCTGGAGGAAGAGAGTATGTTCCAGGCTGTCTGCCTGATATGTCAGCATGGAGTCTGGCTATGTCAGGAAATTTCCCACTCATGATTTATTTTCGCCTTCAATGGCTGTGAGCTGAAAGAAAGGCAGTCCAGATTTGACTCTGATGGGCCCTGGGGTGGCAGGAAGGGAGGTGCTAGGCCTTGAGGGTAAGGATTCTGTCTGGGACATGCTTATCTGACTCACTACAGGCTCAATGTGACTTTGAAAGCTTATTTAAAAGTGTCCTGATTTGTTTTCTCACTCTTTGATTTTTCTACCTGGGATATTCCCCGAGGTTGTTTTTATATTATTTCTCTTCCAAATTAATTTATCACCTTTATGTATTTTAATGTTTGTCTGCAGGAGAAAGATGTGGCAGTCCCCTTCCATAAAGATTTACAGCCTTGGAAACCCTATGGGGCAGTTATACTCCATCTATAGGGTGGCTATGAGTAGATATCAACTCGATGGCAGTGGGTTTGGGTTTGCTATAATACTTTGTAGGAGTCCCTGGGTGGTGTAAATGGTTAATGTGCTTGGCTGCTTACTGAAAGGTTGGAAGTTCGAGTACACCCAGAGGCACCTCAGATGAAAGGCCTGGAAATCTACTTCTGAAAAATCAGTCATTGAAAACCCTACAGAGCACAGATATACTCTGACACACATGGGGTCATCATGAGACAGAGGAGACTTGATGGCAACTGGTTTGGTATCTTGGTATAATACTTTGTATACTTAACATTGTCAAAAAAAAAAAAAAAAAAGCTGGCACCTGATTTGGTGCTGGACTAAAAAAATCTAGCATATTACTGGTTCTTCAAAAGCATACATGTTAAAACAGACAACCTACAGCAATAGTGAATAAATACGAATAACATGTAATTCAGGCAATGTTTAACAAATAAAATGAATTGATCATAAATCTTCAAATTGTCTGAACTTCTTCTTTGAAGTAAGTTAGCCGTATTTGGATCTGCCATTAGCTCTGCATCATATTTACATGATACACTAAACATTAATGAGTAAATGTGGCAGAAATCAAGCACGCAATTCATGTGGAATTATTTGGGATCCTCATAAAAAGGCTATCTATAGGATTAAGTTGATACTGCTTTTGCTTATTGAAAGCACCTGGATAAGTAACCCAGAAGTGGCCATTTGAACCCTAAGTTTACATCTTTCAGGGAAGATACTGAGGGCACTTCTAGCATGCTCCCCTCAGCTTAGCCCAAGCCCGACATCCACCCGGTCTCACGCTTGAGGAGAATGCTCAGACCAAGACTTGACATGACAAGAGGAGACATGCCCACCAGATTTACTTAGATTGACAGTTTTTCAGCATATTTTATAACCAGAAAACAAACAACCAAAAGTCAGGCTTCCTACAGAGGACAGCCACTTACATTTGTCCTGCAGTGAGTCATGGGGCACTTCTCCCTGAGGGCTTTCTTCCAAGTCTCCATAATGCAGGACCTTGTGATTTGGGGAAAGCCGACAATACCAAAATTTGTCTGAGGAAAAAAAAAAAAACACACACATACACACAAGATTACAAGTCAAATGATTCTGGTTTCCAAAACTATCAACACCTTTATTTCTTAATACTCTTGCCTGGAGGAAAAAGCAATTCATTTGATTTGGGGTCTGCCAGAATATTACTCAGCCACAAAGAGAAATAGAATCCTGATACATGCCACAACATGGATGACCCTTGAAAATGCTATGCTGAGTGAAATAAGTCAGTCACAAAAGAACAAGTATTGTATGATTCCACTTACATGAAATATCTAGGATAGGCAAATGTACAGAGACCAAAGTTTATTTGTGGTTACCGGGGAGGATAGGAGGGTAGGGAAAAGCAAAACTCCCTGATTAGGGTACACTGCGCTTCTGTCAAGGGTGATGGGAAAATTGGGAAATGCATAACTGTAATGGTGGAACAACATGATAAACAACGAATGCCACTGAATTGTGCACGTGAAAAATGTTGAAATGGCAAACCATTTGTTACACATACATTTACCAAAATAAAAAAAAAAATTTTTTTTAAATTAATTCTAGGGCTCAGAGAAGATTTTGATATTTAGTTAATGCCTGTCCTGCTTACTATAAATTTGGTAACCACTGGGAAAATTATTAAATACTTCAAATTCAGTGGCAACGGCTTTTTGGGAACTTTTCTGTTTCTACTTTCTTCTCTGAAATTGTTGAAATGGTTGTGATCCTATTAGTCACCTTGACACATGGAGCTTCTACTCCCGAAGCTCACACACACGTTAATCAATGAATGCAGGGTAAGGACACTAATGGAACATACAGGAGTGGGAATTCATGAGGAAGTTATCTAAGTAATTCAGGAATTTACCCAAAGAATGAGGACATTCACAATGATTTTTCTCACTAATTCCTCGAGGTTAGTCCTCAGAATAGGTATGACCAGGAACTTGGGATCATTCTTATGAATAACTCCCTCAACTTTATTCCCTCTGCCCTCAAATGTAACACAAAATTACGAACATGCCTGTGAGGTAGGGAGAAAGAGGCAAAGACCACTTTTTATAGATGTTGAACCTGAATAGTGACAGCAATCTTTGTGCTGCTTTCAAGGCTCAGCTTAGACTCTGCTTCCTCCAGGAAGCCCTCTTCGGTCACTGCAGCTAGAAGGACTTTGCCCATCCCCCGAGCTGCTACGGCATCTGCTTCGATTTGGACTGGGATTACTGTGGTCCACATGTCAACCACCCTACTATTCCCCATTATGTGCCACAGACCCTAGCTAAGCATCCTGTCCTAGTGGGTGTACTAGGAGCAATTACTGGTGGGGGAAGAGGGCTCCAGGATACCCTTCAGCCCTGGCAGTGCAGAGAAGAAGACAGTTGCTGTCTTCATAATCACTGTCCCAATCCCTTGGCACAGAGCCTGGCATATAGAAGTTGCACAGTTGGTGCTGGCTAACTTGATAAATTAAGGCCCAAGAGATTTGGTCAAAATGCCCAAGGCACAAAGCATCTATTACCTGTAAGCCCCTCTGTATTGTCATGCAGTTGGCCAACTCTGTAGTCTCAGTCACAAACTGTTTTAGAAGTACTCTTGACTATAAAGCTCTCCATAACACTTTAAGTGTTTTTTTCCCCATCTAAAATTGCTTTCTCTGCAAAACCAGTTTTAACTATAATTCTTTTAATAGGAAAAAACAAAACAAAACAAGTTTTGAAAATGAAAATAAAAGCCACACAAAAATGTCCACACTGGAGCCCCAGAAGGAAAGTACCTCGGTGACTTCTATCTTCTTCATCTATAAATAGGGCTGAAGAATTCCTGACATGTAGCCAGAATATGGCAATTTATATACTTAAAAAATCTGAACTCTGCTGGAACAATTTGAGAACATAAAATTATTTGATGGCTAGGAAAACATCTGGACTTGATAAATTTTCAAAATTATGCTTTATATGTACAAACATGGGTCATTTTACTGGGACAGCATTTCAAAGGGAGGGAACACAGCTATTCCCTGAGTAATTCACAGCCATTTTAATTGGGCTAATGTGTAATTGTCAGTTTTCCATGAGGAGGACACATTTATGGACTTGACTTGTCATCCACAATAACTAGTTCCAAAGGAGAAGGCCGTGCTTTGACCTTGAGTACCAACAGTGCTTGTGATGGAGCCTCTTGTGGGTCTGGCATGACAGGCTGTGGTGGTTCCTTTTCCCCAAAAGGATCTTCTGCCTCGTCTAAATAGCCTGTGATGACTGCAAAGCCAGTTGGAGCAGCTGTTATCTCTGACATGAGGTTTTTGGCTATGTGAGTGACTAAAGGGTGACAGAAAGTCAAGAAGGGCATCAGCAGAGATGTGATGCTTGGACTTGCTGGTCTTGTTCTGAGTAAGGTCTTAGCACGTTCTTTATAGGAATCCCTTGCTTCTCAAGCTGGGGTAAACTCTCGAGGTTAGTAGTGGGACTTGATGCCGAAGGGTCAATATGGCACAGTCAAAGATCAATTAGTTGGGGTAAGGAGAAATTAAGAAATTTAATTGGTATATAGATATATTATGGAGTAAAACACACTATTTATATTTATTTGTAAGGTAAAATATCAAACTTCAAAGAAATTTTGTTGCTTATATTCTCTCAGGGTAAGTTTATTCAAGTAGTCCCTGGGTGGTGCAAATGGTTAAGGTGCTCAGTTGCTAACTGAAAGGTTGGCTGTTTCAGTCCACCCAGAGGTACCTTGGAAGAAAGTCCTGGTGATCAACTTCTGAAAGAATCAGCCATTGAAAATCCTATGCAGCAGAGTTCTACTCTGACACACATGAGGTCGTCATGAGTCTGAATTGACTGGATGGCAACTTTTTTTTCCCTCAGATTTTCAGTGAATATTTGCAGAGTGCCTACTATGCACACAGCACTCAACCGGGTGTAGCAAAAACATCATTAAAATGAAAGGCAGACGTGAGAGACAAAGCCAAGAAGCTCAAGAAAATGAGTTCCCTCAGTCTTAACGGCAGCTAAGAGAAAGATGGTGGAAATACGTGTTTGCAGACAAGTAGGTCTGGGAAGGAGGAGGCAGGAACAAGTTAGCAACTCTGGTTGATGGGAAAAATATGAACCTGGAAGTTCGCTTGTGTAATACATTCTCACATTCATAAACTACTGGAGGACAGTGGCTATTTTTCAGGGTTCCAGGAGGCAAAACAACCTCTTTCCTTGCAAGGCTGCAGTCAATGTCTGTTTAAAAAAAAAAAAAAAGGCTGCCTTGAAATGTGTCATAAAAATATCTGGTCCATAGATGACAGAATTCCCTCCTTCCAGAATTTAAAATTTTCTTGACTTTTATGATACCACTTGCCCCTGGTTTTCCTCCTTCCTCCAGCTAATTCTTCTCTTATCCTATATGTTATGGATTGAATTGTGTCCCCCCAAAATTATGTGTTATAAATCATCTTTATACCTAAGGATGTGATCCCATTTGGGAATAGGGGATTCTTTGTTATGTTAATGGGGCCATGTCAGTGAAGGGTGTGTCTTAAGTCAATCACTTTTTGAGATACAAAAGAGCAGATCAGGCACAGAAGCAAGCAAGCACAAAGGGGGCAAGACAGATGTCACACCACATGAAGATCACCAAGGAACCAAGGAACCAGAAGCTGGAAAGAGACAACGACCTTCCCCTAGAGTTAACAGGAGAGAAAGTCTTCCCCTCTACCCAGTGCCCTGCATTTGGGCTTTTCTATCCTCCTAAACTGTGAGAAAATACATTCCTGTTCGTTAAAGTCACTCACTAGTGGTATTTCTGTTATAGCTGCCCTAGATAACTAAGATACTGTATAAGTTCCTCCTTCTCTGTCCACTACTGAAATGGAAGAGATCAAAAAAGACAGGTGTACACTGCTGCAAGGGACATGGTCAACTCCACCTCATCAAACAGGAAGTCTTGGATGGAAAGCAAAAAACTGGAAAAAGGGGATGAAAATGCTTGAGAAGGTTGTCTTGATCCACAATCAAACAAGTGGGATATTCAGCTGTTATCTCCTTGATGATAAAAGCTAGAGCCCTGAGCTTTGGGAAGGTATAGAGATGTGATAACTTGCAAATTTCTGTCTCAAAAGTTGTTGTTGTTGTTGTTAGTTGCTGTTGAGTTGGCCCTTGGCTCATGGCAACCCCACACACAATGGAACAAAATGCTGCCCAGTTCTCCACCATCCCCATGATCACTTGCAGATGAAACCACTGTGAGCCACTGACTGATTTTCAGAAGTAGACTGCCAGGTCTTTCTTCCTAGTCTGTCTTAGTCTGAGAACGCCACTGAAACCTGTTCAGCATCATAGCAACACACCAGCCTCCACTGACAGGTGGTAGCTGTACATGAGCTGCACTGGCTGGCAATCGAACCCAGGTCTCCCGCATGGAAGGCAGGACTTCTACCACAAAACCATCGTTGCTTCCAGCTGTTATACAGGAGAGCAGAACTGTCGGTTCCAGCCAGCCCAGCACACCAGCATGTTGGGTGAGACAGTCCCATGTCAGATCCCACCAGCAGCTTGATTTGCAGTTTATTTTATGGTAAGAAAAATGTGTACTTTTCTTTCAAAACCCAGCATGATGTTACTAGTTCCTCAAACCCTCTAGGCAATGAGTAAGTGGATTGTGTCACAAAAAGCAATTAGCTGGAAGCAGTGAGAACATTATCAAAGATTGTTTCCTAGCATTTAAAGACAAAATAAGAGTTAATACAGAGGTTTTCCAGTCGATTATGGAGGACAGTATGTTAACAGCCATCTCTTCACCCCCCAAACGCAGCAACTCAAAGTACACAGACAATTTTAAACTTCATTTCTTCTTTCTTTTCATGGATGTTTGTGAAGGATCAGAGGGAAAAGCCGGCTTCAAAGCTCACGAGCCTAGCTGAAAGCTCTCCAGGGCTGATTAAAACTATTCCTAATGTAACATAAATTATTCTGGAGCTAATGACCACTGACAACTGTAATTCTTGCTGTGCAGTAGAAAC